TATATATATACACACACACACACACATTTTTTTAATAACAAAATTATTTCTGAAAGAAAGAGGAATTCTCAAAATTACAAGAAGAATCATTTTAACTTGTATGTTAAGATAAAATGTTACAAGATAAAATACAAAACTTATTTCACGAAAGTTACTTCTACAAGACACACTTTAAAAAAGCGACAGTAACAATAATAATCCACTTTAGAACGTGACGTTTATACGAGAAGATGATTTTGCATTTTCCAACGGAGAGAAAAATCGAAAGTTGTGCGTAATCGACGCATGAACTCGGTCCGGCTCGTTTCATAGAGACTACGAGGTGGAAGCTGCATAACCGGTCCCAAGCAACAGGTGATCGGGCCGAATGTGACAACTGCCCCTTGCGATCAAACTTGCCGTGCCCTCTCGATCTTCATATTTCTCTCTGTCTCATTTCTTCTCTCTTGCACTTTTTCTATACAGGCTCGTGCCGTTTACTTACGTTTCTTCTTCTTTCCACGTCGTATGCGAACAGGGCACAGGAAAGCCATTCTGCGGTTCGTTCGCGGAGTCCGCACCGAAATCTTTCACATCTCCAACGCGGCGACCACCCGCCTCCTGTGGAATGTACAGGCGATCTCTTGCCGCGGCTCTGTGTGTGTGTGTGTGTGTGTGTGTGTGTGTGTGTGTGTGTGTGTGTGTGTGTGTGTGTGTGTGTGCGCGTGCGTGCGTGTGTGTGTGTTATACCAAGAGGATGGGAGATTCACGCGGAAGGATGCGGTGTCGAGGAGAGAGAATGTCTCTGGTTGAAATCTGGCCGCCGTGCGACCGCGGTGGAACTGATCGAGACACACCTCCCGCAACGGCAAGCGGACGCGTTTTCCGCGTTCCCTCTCGTCCACCGTCGGGTTCTCACGGGTCCTCGGGGGCCCAGGACACTCCGTGGCCGCGATTGTGAATTAATCTTGGACACAGCAGGTAGAGAGCGCTACGGGATGATCACGCTACGTGGTTCCCGTTAAATTTTCATGATTCGAGATCACTGCGATGCTGTGCTTTCCGAGAAGACTTGCATCATATAAACGAGTTAAAGATGTCCCCAGTAAACAAGAACAGATTAAAATGGATTGAAATTTTTTTCTATCCGAATGCGTATTTTAAATAGCGAATACTTTTTTTGGATTTAATTGGATTCAATTGGATTCGATTAGATTCAATTGAAAAATTGCATTTCCTCAAAATTTTGAATTGAATAGTATTCACATTGTGTGTGTTGTATACACAGAAAAAACTAATATTATTTTTAGATTGAAAGGTATAGAGATATGCTCCATGCAATTCCTATAAATGAATAAAAATGCATTCAGGATTGAAAAGCTTTCATTTTAATATTCGTGAATCAATATTTCTGAAAATCTGAATTCATTTCAATTCAATTCAATCCAATCCGTTTGCTAAGTCGTAATATTAAAAATATAACACATGTTCTTGTTATTAAAATAAAAGCAAATATATACAAGAAAATAATAATTAATATGTAATTAGCAAAAATAAAAATAGACTGATAATAACCCAGTAAACAAGAATGGATTAAAATAGATTGAAATTTTTTCTATCCTTATGCATATTTTAAATAGAGAATATTTTTTTTTGGATTTAATTAGATTCAATTAGATGCAATTGGATTGAAAAACTACATTTCCTATTCAAAGTTTTGAATTAAACAACAATATTCACCATGTGTGTTGTGTGTGTGTGTGTGTGTGTGTGTGTTTTTTGTGTGCACAGAGAAAACTTATTTTTAGATTGAAAGGCATAGAAATATGCTTCATACAATAACTATAAATAAATAAAAATACATTCAGAATTGAAAAACATTCATTTTAACATTCGTGAATCAATATTTCTGAAAATCTGAATCCATTTTAATTCATTTCAATGCATTCTCGTTTGCTAGGAAAGAAATAATTTGTTTTATGAAAAGAATCTTATCTTTATATTTTTCTGAATGACTGCAATAAGTTTCTTTTTCTTTTATTTTCTCTTTACTTTCCTTTTGTTTTGTCTCTGATACAATTTGCATATATTTTAATACTAAAATACACGCATATTTCAATATTTGTTAGGTCCAGTAAGTGAATTGTCAACAGATACAAATAATAACAGATTGGAGTAAAAAGTGAATATTTTCTCTTTAGATGTTAGTTTGCGAACAAGAGACAACTATATATCTTGAAACAGGGTGAAAATTACAAAAGCGAGCAAATTCATTAAGTATTGATCGATGAATGAAATAAGAATTTGCTTACTTTTGTCATTTTTACCTCATTTTAAAATATATAATCGAACCCCAGAAATTTGTAAACATGACAACATCTGGGGATCGATTCTGTATCTTGAAATGAGGTGAAAATTATAAAAGTGAGCGAATTTACTAGAATACTGATTATTTCATTGGTCAACGTCTAGTAAATTTGCTCGCTTTTATAATTTTTTATCTTGTTTGAAGATAAAATCGACCCCCTGTTAATATAATTCGTTAATATAATCATGCTTCTTCATTTTCTTCACTTCGTCGACATAATTTGTTGTATTTCTGATAGAATTCTATCATGTAAATTCTGCTAAGTCCACACCCTTCTATCGAGAAAATTTATAGCACATCGAGCAGACGTCATTTATAATATTTTTTGGTAGATTGGACTGTTTTAATTTGATTTTTACTCGAAGAACCAAAATACGATGTTTGTAGCATGTAAATAGATAGATATATGATATGTTATAACGTAATAATAATAATAATAATAATAATAATAATAATAATAATAATAATATAATAACTTTATTGATGCATAAGAAATAAAAACGAAGATATACAGCAATAATATATAAAACGAAAGATATGCAATCAATGAGCGAGATATTAGCAGTAATATTGTCTAAAAATCTAACTTGATGTCTTTTTATTTTTAATTATGTTTCAAAATATCTTCATTTATGTAAATTTACCTTCTCTTTCTCTCTCTCTCTCTCTCTCTCTCTCTCTCTCTCTCTCTCTCTTTCTTAAATAATAAAATAAAAAGGTAATTAGACGAGGGAGATTGTTGAGATACGTGTCTCCGAAGTGCTCCGGAGCTTTGAAAAATCGGAGTTATCAGGAAAATATGTCGCGCGAGGAAGTTACAAGAGATGGCAGAACCAAAATCCAATTCAAATTTCGCGCCTCACGCTCTCCAACCTAAATCTCAAAATTCGAATTCGTGGCTCACTTTACCTCTTCCGAATTATAATTCCTTAGAGGGCGGGAGATTTGAATCATGCTATCTTTCGTAACCTCCTAACTGCTTCTGTTTTCCTGATAGCTTCGACGATTTTTGGACGGCATCGAGAGGACCTTATATGCCCGCGCCTGCGTTGGTATATTTATGCCTTCTTTATTCTATCAACGGAATTGAAACAACATCTTTGTTGAGAGCCACGTGTCTGACGTGTGTGTGTGTTTTCAACTTTTATTTAACTTCTTCCTTGATTGGATAAATAAAGAGAAAATTTGTATAATACAAATATTTTAAAGCGTAATTCGAAATAAAATAATTATAATACAAAAGACAAATAAGAATTTTATAGAAAAAATGATTTTGATATAAAAATCGTCCTTTTTAAAGACTATAAGTCTGTTCACGTTGTATACACTTTTGTGCACTCAGCATCTTCGCTTTCTTTCCTTTCAACACACACACGTCCAAATATATAGCTATCTCATTTTAAGTTAAAAAATTTTTAAGGATTTCAAGTAACGCGAACAGACCTAATATATGAAGCATTTCTTTATCTCAATATAACAATTAAATAAAGAATATATAAATGTATAATAAAAAGAAATAAATATAATAAATATAGAAAACAATAATTATCTTCCTTCAAATAAGTTTTTTGTTTAATGACAAAAAATATTCACTGTCCTATCAAATAATACATATACATAAATGATATAATACATAAGAAAAATCCGAGTTTCGTTTTCATTGAACTAAAGTGCAGTAATGCGGAAAAAATGTGGTAAACGAGAGAGTAAGACGTATGCAGATCTTGCTCGAAACTTGCTTTTATTGTATTCAATTAATATAAACGACGGTGGTATATTCGTTCTTGCCTATATATATATAACAGAGCTCTTCTGACTTATGCTTAACAATTGCGGGTATTACTTGGTTTTTTCATCTCTTTCTGGAAAATATTCGTATATATATGTACAGTTATGTCATAATTGTGCCGAATATTTAGTCATTAGATTGCGGATCGACTACTTAGGTATTATTAACGTTAACTTCGGTTAATATGAGACCGTAGAAATGCTTCTATATATCTACTCGTATGCTTCAGGCGTACAGAAATCGCGAGATTCTAACGAAGGATTGTTTGTATTATGTGTTCGTGTGTATACAGAGTAGTTCTTAAATATTCTAAAAGAGTTTAAGGAGTCATTTCTTATTTTAATTCTAAACAAAAGACTTCATATGTCTAAAACAGTTTAATTTCAAGTAAACAAGGTGTTAAAGTTGAAGGAAAAATTTCGAAAAACACTCGAATTATTTTCATGTCCTTAATTCATGCACAATGTTTCATCAAAATAATATCGAAACACAATTTTGAAAACGTAATTTTTTTTCTTTAACTTTGTCATCCTTTAACTTTTAAACTAAAACATTTTGGACATATAAAGTTTTCATCTTGAATTAATGTGAGAAAGTACCCCTTAAATTATATTAAAATCTCTTTATTTAAGAATCACCTTGTATATGTATGTCCGTATGCATGTGTATATGTAAAGTTTGTAATATATATGGCTGTGAAATAGGTACAAAATCGATTCGGTACAAAATCGTCCCTATTTTTTTTTAATAATACAGCGCAACTACATATCCACGATGAAGATGAAACTTCGAGAACGAGCGGGCCGAGCTCTTATAAAATGGAGTTCCACTGTATTATCAGGATAAATTTATCGCAGTGCAGATACGATCACGATAGATAAGATCACGTATAAGCCGCGAAAGAGAGCCGGAGCGCTCATCGTCGCTAATTTATTAGATGCCATCGCGATTCTTGTAATCGCGAGGGAGTAGAACACTTAAAGAGGAGCGATCGATCGATTTCTCTTCGTTTCTTCTTCTTCTACTCTCTCCCTCTCCGTGGGAGGAGATTTACAAAATTCGAGAGAACAGGAGGTCAGACTTTGTACTTTCGTATTGCACTTTGTTGTGTGTAGTTCAATGACACGTTGGAGTTCTTAAGAATTATAAATTCTAGCGCACAGTTGCGAGATATTTTTTTACTCTAATGCTCGACATAGTTCCTTGCGGATCGACGAAATAAATAAAAGCATATATATATATAT